CCCCAGCAGGGGAGCGGGCGCCGGCTCCTCACTGTACTCCCCGTTGACCCACTTTTCGATCACTGCCCGCCTCTTGTCTTCTTCGCTGCGGGGGGCCCGGGCCACCCCTGGCTCAGGGCCACTGCGCTCTTTGTCCTGGGGCCTCAGTGGGCTGCCCTCCGTGTGGGCGCCAGCCTCTGCCCCCTTCTCCACCACCACCTGGCGGCTCAGCTTGGCGCAGATGGCGTTGAGTTTCAGGCCGCCTTTGCGCTTGGCCGCCATCGCGGGCTTGCCTGTGGGCGGGTCGGTGCACCGGGTGCCTTCAGCTGTAGAGGGTGGAGAGAGAGGTCAGAGGTCAGGCACAGCCACCCACCTCAACAGCCGGGGCTGAGGCTCTGCCCCCAAACCCCGCAAGCCAAAGGTTCCCCACCCTGTCCTGAGACTGCCCGGCGCACGTCTGAACCCCTCCTAGACTGAGCTGTGGGGGGCTAAGCTCGCCCATCGCTCTATCCCGGGGCCTGGCTCTAAGCCGGGCACGTGCTAGCCGGTCCGAGGATTTTGGAAATGAACGAATGAAGGAACGACTCCTCCCACACACGGGCAGTCCTCTCCCAGCACTGGTTCCTGGAAGCACTTCCTACCCTTGTCTGGCCCGAGACACCTCCTCTGAGAGGCCGGCCGGCCAGGCCCCCATTGGTATAAAGGCGGCGCAGGCTGAGGGCTGGGTGTGGGGCAGAGCCAGCAAGATGAGCAGCCTGACTCCACTTGTGAGCGTCTACCCCACGGTCCACTGGTGAGGAGACCGCTAAGAGCCAGGGGCAGCCGGGCAACCCCGTGCCTTACTGTCCCAGCAGCCCTGGTTGGCACCTGTCCCCACCGGGGCATCTCATCCCAGGCTCTCCTCTGCCTGGCCCGCCTGGTCCCTGGGCCCCGCCTGAGTCCAGCCTCTGCCCACGGGGGAGCCCGAAGACCTCCTCTTCTCCAGCCTCTCCCGCCAGGGTCCTCTCGGCCCCTCCCTTGTCTCCTCCGGCCCTTTCCTACCACCTCCTCCCCCAGCCCTCAGCCAAGGGCAGAGCTCCTCACAGCCCCTCCGAGGGCCCTTGTCCCTGCCCGAGGCCCCGGCTCTGCCCTCTCTGCCTGGACCAGCTCCTGCAGCCCTGGAAGGCCTGGCTGGTCCCAAGAAGCCCACTTCCCAGCTGAGAAGGCGCAGTAGCAGTGCCTAATCCCCAAACCCACAGCCCAACGCCAACACCCCAAAGTCTAACGCAGCTGCCTGCCTGCTAGCCACCTCCCATGGCTGCTGAGCAGGCTGCCCAGGGTCCTGGTGGCACATGGCAACCCAGATCCCCATGCAACCTGGGACCTGCCTCAAAGACCAACAAGGGTGCATCTGTCTGCCTGTCCGTCCATCTGTCCATCCGCCCAGCAGCAGAGCTGCTCCTACTGTGTGTCCCTGTGGCAGAGCAGGGGCAGGGCGGTGGCCACGACAGACACATTGTGCACAGGCAGCCCCAGCGAAGCGTCTCGATGTCAGGACTTCCTCACACGTCCCCCAACAGGAGGGGTGCGGCACGTTCACGTCTCCACACAGGTCAGAGGCTAAGTGAGGGGAGCGGCTCTGCTCCCCAGTCCATGCTTAGAAGAGGCTTCGCCAGCCACACTCTAAACACCCCCACCTGGGGCCCCCCGAGAGGCGGTCAGACAGGGATGCCCACACCTGTGCCTGCCCACAGGTAGACCTGGCTTATACACATGGATGGTTGTCCCCCACGATTCAGGCGATGCCCCATGACCCCAGATCCTTGCCCTGAAGCCAGCTGCCCGTGTATGGCCTCACTTGGCCCAGAGGGGCCCGGGGATCCCAGCCCAGCCCAGCCCAGCGTCAGGGACAGGTCGGCTTGGCTCACTCCAGTCCTCCCAGTCCTGTGGCCCTGGCTCTGCTGGGCCCCACCCTGGCCCAAGCCGGATGCCCACTCTCCCCATGTTTGTCCACGTCTCCAAGTCTGTGCTGCCCACACCCAAGTCTCCAAGCACCGACATGGGGCTCCTTCTCCAAGCTCAGTGATGGGGCCCCTAATCGCACATCTCACCCAACCTCCGGGCCAGCCGCCAGGCTCCGTGACACCGAGTTTCCTCCAGCCGCCTATGGCGAACAGAACGGCCTCACCTGGTCCCCGCTGTCCCCTGCCCTGGTGGGGACGGGGAGGGTGGGCGTGGGGAAGCCTGCTCTATTTTTACTGGGAGGTAAGCAGCCAAGTGTGTATGGCAGACGGCAAATGAATCTATAAATATTTATCCCGAGGAAGAGGGAAGCAGAGGCTCCCAGGGCTGCCCTTGCTGTTGGTGACACCCCCTCCTCGGGCCCCCACCCATCCTGGAGCCTCCCGGCACTTGGGCCCACCCAGCCCTGCCCACCCCTCTCCTGATCTCCACTGTGCGCCTGGCTGGGTTCCTCCTGGGCCCCCACCAGCTGCGATGCAGCTGTGCGCCCAGGGCCCACCCCCCGCCTGCAGGCCCCTTTGCTCCACCTCCACCCCCTCCACCTGCCCTCCAGCTGCTGCTCTGCCCCAGCCCACCTGCCTTCCAGATGTTGCCCTCCCTCTGACTCTACTGTGGGTCCCAGGGGTGGAGGTGAAGAAGGCACGTGGGCCTGGGGTGCAGGGCAGGAGGCAGGGACTGGCCTTCCGCGGTGAGTGGAAACGCGTGCGAGGCTGGGGCGGCAGATGGGGGTGTAAGAGCTGGGGTCCAAGTTGCCTGCACGCCCACCCTCCCTCGCCCATCAGGGCCCTGGGACCCTGTAGACTACCCCCCTCGTGGTCTGACCCCAGGCTCCTGTCCATGTAAACATTCCCTGACTTTCTTCCCTAAAATATAAACGCCATGGCCAGGCCTCAATGGGAGGAAGCCATCCGTCCCCGGCCCTGTCACTGCCCCTTTCATCTCCTTCCCACCACCAGCCTGCCCGCTGCTCTATTTACACTGGACACTTCCTCTGGGAACAATACTGCCCAGGAGGCAGGCTCGGGCCAGAGGGTGGAAGGCGGGGGACTCCCGTGCCGCTCACCCAGGGACGGGCGCCCCCCGA